GCCTCAGCTGTGCCAGCAAACTGATCCTGTGTCTAGGACTTCAAGGGCTAAAGGGGGCGGAGAAAGGGGACATCTCACCCTGTGCTTGCAGCCAGACTCTTTGAAAGGGCAGAGCACCAAGGCAGTGCTGCAGCTGTCCTTCAGATGGCTGGGCAGGTCCTCCCGAGCCACAGTGCCCACACCACATTGATTGGGGCAGGGAACAGGCAGCCGTGGGCACTGGTACTGATGGCTCTAGGACCAGAGACAGAAGCAGTGATCAATAACCTGACTCCTTGTTACCCAACCTCATAGGATACAGGTCAGTAAGGGCCTCACCTGGATGGTATCAAAAACAAACTCCTTGGTACAGTAGGCACAAGGCTGGGTGCGCTTGGGGCACTCAGAAGTGGCATGCTGGGCCAACAGTCGCCTCATCATGCGGGCACCACACTTGTTCTCACAGTACACACTCTCTTGGGGACACATGCCCTCGTGACTCTAAAACAGCACAGGGGCCGAGTTAAGGGATGCCTGGGTTCCCAGGAGCCTCACCCTCCCTCTACCTTCAACCTGGACCCACCTACCTCGTAGGCCTCCCCACTAAAGTCACAGCCACAGAATTCACACTTGAGGCGGCGTTTAGGGCAGTCGTGCTGCAAGTGAGCAGGCAGATCACGACGGCTCAGCTTGGCTGGACAGCGATTGGGGCAGGGGACTACATTGAAGCTGCAAGTGTTCAAGTGGCCCTAGTGGGAGACACTCAGTCAGCATCTGTGAGTCAGGGCCAGTCCCAGCTCTCCACCAGAGCCTCACCTGTAGATGGCGAAGTTGCCCACTCCAGCGGCAGCCCTCCTCACTATGGATGCAGCGGATAGGCAGGCCTAACACTTGGACCTCCAGCTCTGGGTCTGGGTAGATCTGTGGACAGAGAATGGGGGGATCAAAGAGGATCACTTCTGTAGTCACATTCACCGTGACTCTCAACTGAGCTGGCTGTGTCTATAAGCCAGTAATTAACCTCTTGAGCAAAGACCTCTCAGACTATTTGTCTTTGTGCCCTAGGATGAAGGACACAGGAGGTTGTATCTACTCTGACTTGGAACCTAGGGTCCTCAACATGCCTGCACAGGAACACGCTCCCTTCAGGAGGGCACCCCATCACATCAGCCTGCTCAGTCATAGGCTTACCCCCACCAAGCTTGCTTCCTCTTAGTGGAGGGGTCCTGGCCCCCAGCCACAGGTCTAACTTGCCACAGGAAGAGAAAGGAGCATTTTTTATGGGCACAGAGCAGCTCTGTGCACCCCTACAGGCTGGGCATTGTGCCTGTCCCCCAGGGCAAACAAGTCTTAGTTTGCAAACTGGCCTGGTGGGAGAGAACAGGCTACCTTTGTGGGGGCACGAGATCCTGAGGCTTGAGGTTGACACTGGCCCTGTGCCTGCTCAGACTGCCAACAGCTCCAGCTTCCACCAAGGGCAACAGTCTATAACTCTGTACCCGGGCTTCCAATCTAGCAGTGTGGACTCACCTTGGCATAGTCCAGAGGAAGCTGGTCCTCGGGGCATTTGAAGACTCCTTCACTGAAAGGGGAGAAGGCAGGGTTAAGGCTCCTCAAGCCCTGGGCCTCACTCCCTCATCCAGGGTAGCTACCCTCCCTTGCCAGGCCCCTTCCTAACCAGCCATAGCTGAGACACAAGAGAAAGCAGAGGTCAGAAGGAACCCACTTTTCAATGGTGCTAGACTACCTACAAAGGGTATTCTAGGCCCAGTGCAGACAGCTGCCTTGGGCAGCACTTACCCAACAGGTGGCAGCTGGCATCCCCTCCCCCCAGGACAGCAGCTGGACTTGAAAGAAACAGGCAGCCTGCCACCCCCTTCCCCCAAAATGGTTTTCATTGGCTATTCTGAAAGCTGATGGGAAGCTGTACAAGGATGTTCTTGGATGAAGTGCCAGGGTTACCCAGCCTCCATGACTATGCCAGGCCAAGAACCAGGGCAAAGGTCATCTTGAGGCTACTTAATGCTATCCCTCTCCTCTTTTGAGGGCGCATCTCCTAAAGAAGTGGGAAGGAAAAGTAAGGCCTTTGGCCTTGTGCTCACTCACTCCCACCTGGCTTTCATCACCTGCCTCTGAGAAGGGTTAGAGATGAAACAAAACAAAATAAAACCCAGGCTCCCTAGTGAAGAAGCAGCTGGGATGTCTGTCTGTGGCAGCTCCACATCTCAGACAGGCTCTAATAACACAGACAAGGCTTCTGAAACTTGGTGACCCCAACCCCTGCCAGCTGTCCTGTCTCCACCAAGATATTAACACTCATAGCGCCTGGTAGCATGCTTCTTCCTGCCAGTTTGCCCTAGCTGACCCTAACAAGACCTGTCACACATGACTGTCATGGTCCAGGCAAGACAAGGGCTCACCCAGCAGGACAGAGGCCCCTTAGGCATGGCATTCCTGGCAGATCTGAGTCAGGTAGGCGGGAGGCGGAAGCAGAGGCTACATGGTAGCCCTGTTGTGAAAGCACTTTCCAGAGTCTGGGCAGTCCACACCCCAGGTGCCTAGTCCACTTCCTAGCACCTCCTCTTGGCCCCGCTACTACTGGCCATGGCCTGGACACACAGAACAATACATGCTCAGGCACCAAACAGGTATGCCTGCATCCACAGGGCAAGCAGCCTTTCTGGCTCAACCTGAGTAATAAATAGCCTAAGCAGGAGTGGGGAAAGAGGAGTGGACCAAGGGGGAGAGGGTCCACTTGGCTGCTTCAGGAATGTGCTGACCCAGTGGTTTTGGAGACAACAAGGGACTACGGCAAGTCCCTAGGCTTCAGGCAGAGGCTTACCCTGCAGCTTGGGGCCCAGCCAGGACAAAGGTTTGGCCAAGGCTATGGACAACCTAACCTGGAGGGGGTGGGGGGACAGAGCCTGCTCAACCACCACTAGAGGCCACGGTACACTAGATCGATGGGGGAGGGGAGAAGGCAGAGGCTGCTTCTGGCTGTGCAGTGGAGGCCCAAGCCCAGGGGAGAAGACAGGATGGGGGGAGGGGGCAGTGGGAGAGGAAGAGGGGATTTCCGGGAGGAGGAGGGGCAGAAGCAGCCTCGAGGGGACTGAGAAGGAGGTGAAGGAGGAGGGAACAGCCTGACAGCCCCTCTTGGCTCCTTCCCCGAGGCAGTAAGGGTGGGTCAGCTGGAGGAGGGGGCTGGCTCAGCTGGCCTCATCTGGAAACCAGAGGGCCGGGAAGGGAGCTGAGGAGACAATGGGCCCGTGTGTCTGTAGAGGAGTTAAGTGTGTACATTGCAGGGAGGAGGGAGAAGAGACGGGAGGAGGGGGAAGCACAGCAGCTTGAGCAGGAGCATATGTGAGAGCAGGAGCCCGCGGCTGCTAGGAACAAAAAACAAAGGGCCTGCTGAGATTTCCGCCAGCCAGGATCTTCGGAGGGGGACGGAGCACTGAGGCAGAAGTCCCACATTGCTCTCCCTGCCAGTAGCCCTCGGACCGCGACTGACCTGCCCTTCCTGTGCTCTAGGGCACGGCGTCCACAGGCGTCGGGGCTCCCCGATCTCCCCTCCCACACCGCAGCCCTCAGCGGCAGGAGACTCAAGACCGCACAGGGTGCCCAGAAATGTGACGGATGCCTGAGGCGGCAAGGCAGGCCCCCGCTCCCGAGAGGGCAGGGGACATTCAGTACCAGCCCGGGAACAATTCCCCTTTGGCCAGTGTGCCCGACCATCCGTCATACTCAAGACCCCACAGAGGATCCCCGGTTGAGAGGCAGGGAGGGCTGCAGGTCACAGTCCAGCCTCAGCCTCTACTACGTGACCACACGCAGCCCGGGTTGGATTCCCAGCTAAGACCACCAACAACCGTGTGACCCTGGGCAAATCGCAGCCTTTCTTTCAATCTCTGTGAAATGGGAGAACAATAGCGGCCGCTTTTTCGCGTCAGATAGAGTAAGGATGGACGGGGGGAAACTCCAGAGGCTCGCAGTGTCGCGCGGGAGAGGCTTTGTCCTGCCCTTCCCTGAAGGATTCAAAGTTCAAGGCTGCGGCCGCTCGGGCTCAGGAGCGGGGGGGTGGGGGGAGGGCCGGCCACGGATCGGGAAGGGCGTCTTGCCCACCTGGAGCTGGGCAGGTAGGACCCGAGCGACCTGACGCCGGGGTGCGTGGGGTCCTCCCCGGAGCCCTGACGTCACTGCCGCCCCTTGACATCGGGGTGGGCGCTCCTGAGGTCACCGGGCGGCCGTGGAGACAAAGGCCCGACGTGTCTCCGGCGCGAGCCCTTCCCCATGCAGCACCCGGCACCCCCGGCACCGCCGGCCCAGGCCCACCGCCCCCGGGTCTCACCTGAGGAACTCCTGCAGGCAGGTGTCGCAGAAGCGGTGGCCGCAAGTAGACACCTGCACGGGCTCGCGCATGGGCTTCCCGCACAGTGGGCACAGCAGCCGCCGCTGGGGCTTCTCCAGGAACTTGTAGTCGAAGCCGGGCATGGCGGGCTGGCGGCGGGCGGAGCCGCGTCCCCACGGTCCTAGAGCCCGCCCTCGCACCCCGCCCACTCGCTCCACAACCCCTCCGAATGCGGTCGCTCTCGGGACGCTTCCAAAATTAAGTCAGCCTCGCCCACCCCCGGAAGCTGGGGCTTCTCTTTCCCGTCGGAACCGAGAGCGTGGCTGAGATTGTTCCAGAAGCGGGGGCCCCTAACGCTGCCGTGGTGTCTTCTCTGGTCGCACCACACAGACTTGACTCTTTAAGAGGCCACCTTAAGGTCTCCTACGCCACACGCCGCCCAGGGACCCGTGGCTCTAGCTTCCAGGTGCTAGGCACCGAAGCCTGGCAACAAGATCCCAGAAAACCCGGCTGGAGCAAGGAAACTGGGCTGGGCGCTGGGCCAGCGGAACCTTGGCCCCAGCCTCCGGCCTCTGACTGCGCCCACATTCCTCCCGGCCGCTGCCCTACAACCACAGTCGGGCCCAACCCAGTCTTGGGGTGTCTGGAAGCCACCTCCACCCCAGAAGAGACCATATGCCAAGCAAGCATTTGATAATTTTATTGGCGCTATTTTCAAACCTTTGAGAAACTGGTCGAGTCTGGCCTGCTACTTTTTTCCTCAGTCTAGGTCTGGGAAATGGCCTGGGGTAAGGGGCAACCTTCTGCAGGATCCCCTCAGCAACCACTCAGTAGCTCCAGCACTCTCTCCCTGGGATGGGGGGGGGGCGCCCTCCCAGAGGTTGAGCAAACCCCTGCCTCAGGAATGACAGAAATGGGGACTCCCTTCAACCTCAAGCTATGCAGAGATTAGGCAGGCCCAATAGCCAGTCCAAACAAGCCCTGGCTTGCCCTGCTCCAAAGCATGGCATCAGTCTCCACGAGGACACTACACAGCCAGGGACTTCTTTTTAACCAGGCTTGGGGTGTGTATGTGTGTGTGTGCTTTTTAGCAAAAACTTTGAAGACCGTCCTGCTGTTAATTCCTGCCAGACTGGAGCCTGGAGACACAGAGTGAGATAAGGAGTTTGGGGCAGCGGCTTGGATGAACAAAGTGGCCTTTCCACCTCACTGATGACACAATCCAGGACGCTGGAAACAGTGGTTCCTTAGGCACCTGCATTTTTCAGAACTCTCAGAGGTGGTCTGATTCTTGGATAATCCTGTTGCCTCAGGGGGGAACTGGTTCGTCTGTGACAGCTGGAGAATATCAAAAAGAAGCTCCTGCAGCCCTTCTGGAGGCAATGCCTACAGCAAGCATCATCCACCTTTGATCTCATTGAGCCCTGGAGCCAAAACCCTCCTGCCAGACCAGAAATGGAGGTTTAATATCAACTGGATTCAGGAAGTATTAGAAGAAATTATTCCAGTGAGGCCTGGAGAGCAATACTGGCAGCTCTTGCTCACCCAGGCTGGAAGCTTGGTGTTTTACACATCCCCTTCCTATTCCCCAATGGTTCTGCTTTCACTTTTCTGGGGGCAGAAAATTGTGCTGGGTAATTTGAGTTGTAACTACTGAAGATGGAGTAAGGAGTAGAAGAGAGCTGGGTTAACCCCGTGGTGTTGGTGAGACAGGAAAAGGAAACTCACATCGAACAGCCAAGAGAGTGTTCCCATGGCAGCAGGACACTGAAGTCACCATGTAAGGAAGAGTCTCGTCCAGCTGCACTGGCCTAGGGAGTCCAGCATCCTCATCCCTCCTTCCCAGTCGACCTCGGGCTCCTTTGCCCCAAGAATACACTTCCCCTTCTGCCAAGAATTAAAGAGAAGGGGCACAGTCTAAGCTAGCAGCCAAACACTAGACAGTAGGACTGACTCTAAGGGGAAGTGCGTCCATCACCCACCACATGCTTTCCACGTCCACTCTCATCCTGCTCACTCTCACCTGCCCCAATGGCTACAGTGAAGGCGTCCCCACAGGCCACCATCACCATCTTGATGCCCTCTAGGCCTTGGACCCGACAGGGCACCCTGCTGGCCCGCCGAGAACTGGTGCCCAATTGCCCGTGCTGATTGCTGCCAAAAGTATAGCAGTCACCGGAGGCTGTGGGGATGGGAAGAAAATAAAGGAAAGGGCACTTGAACAGAAGTCTGGAGGAGGCCAGGTGAATCCCCCTTAGGCCTCCCAGGCCTGGGTCCTACTCACCAGTCACAGCAGCGGAATGAGCAGTGCCCAGGTCCACACACAGCAGGGGCTCCCGGTCCAGAGGTGCAGAGCCCAGTGGTGTGAAGCTCAGGGCCTCCTCCACTTGCTGGTGGGAATCAGGCTCCTCATCCAGGGATAGGTGATCCAAGCCTAGTTTGTTAAACCTAAGGATGGAGCCAGAAGCCGTAAGTTTGTATAGGCTGCCTTTCTCCCACTAGTCTCTGCAGGGATTGCTAGGATCTGTCCCACCAGGAGAATATCCTACCCTGAGTTGAACCAAATAGTAGTTTTATCCCTCTTTAGTTCTGATCCTTGGAAGGAGGGACGCAATAAGGATTGGAATACTTTGTAGCTAAGGAGGGTAGAAAGGCAGGCCTATCCCTTCAATGCCTCTACTTACCTGTTACTTCCACAGGCCAGGACCCTGCCAGGCAAGGTGATGATCATGGAAGAGTCAATACCACAAACAACTCTTTGAGCTTCCTGCCCTACGGGCACAGGCACCTGCTGGGGGCAGCTATGGGACTCCCTGGTTCCTAGACCAAGCCTCCCTACAAGAAAAAAAAAACAAAAACAAAAACAAAAAACCAAGAAGGGGTTAGTTTGAACTTTAAAGATGGTAATGTCAGGAAAAGAGGATGAGTGTGGCTGTTCTCAGCTGGAATGCTTTTCTTAGGACCTACTGCTGGCTGACATCCTTTAAAGCCTTGCTTTTAATTCCAGCAGCAGCTGGGTGTGATGAAGCACACCTCTAATCAACCATAGCACTCAGGATGCTGACACTGGAGGGCTACCATTAATATGAGGTAAACCTGGGCTACAGTGAATTCCAGGCTAGCTGAAGCTACACAGAAAGGTTCTGTCTCAAAAAACAGGCCGGGAAGATGGCTCAGCAGTTAAGAGCACTGGCTGCTCTTATAGAGGACCCAAGTTTAA